GTGATGGCGCTATCATTATTTAGGTTGTTGGTAGTCACTATAGGGAACCCGTTTAGTCAATAATATAATACTATTTCGTTAGCTACTTGCCTTATTTTATTTTCATGTCTATCCTGGAACGTCGATGAATATCCTTGAAGCCATGACGTATTCCTTTTTGATTTTTCGGATATTTCYTTTTTTATTTATTTTATATTTTCATAATTATTCGGTTGGGAAGACAAACAACTTATGGTACAAAAAATATAAGGAAAACTGAAAGTAACATGGCCATCTGAGGAATAAAATCAGTAGTTTTAGACGTTCATAAAGGATTCAAGGTGATCAYATAGAAAGAACAAGACCGGTTCTAAATGACACGTTATTTATTATTAACATCTTGCTAAAACTTTAGCATGTATATTTGTTGGCCCGTGAATCGTGGGGCATCATATCCGATAGGGGATTCTTTAAGTTAAAGTTATTTGAAAGGTCAAGATTAGGAAATATAATATATTTTTAAATAGTCTCTTACTCGGGGCAGAAAATTTAACTTTTTATGTAGAATTTTTTTACGAAAGTGTTTATTGGGCTTCCTGTGGTAGAGAGATTTTAGAGGGGAGGGGAGGGGAGGGGGAGATAGTCCGCTGTGCGCCAAGACACCAGGCGCATMCTCTTTCTTTCCTCTTTGAACCCATTGTGGAGGTTCCACGTATTCATCCATTAGAATCTTTTTCCATCTCAGGATGAATCGTGTATCTCAAACTCCGGCCATGTTGGCTGCTTTCCTCTTACTTAGTTTGACTCTGGTGAACGCCGATGTCGACACAAGTCTTATTTTTAGCAAGGTTTCTCGTAAGATAGACCTTACTTCTCAACTTGCTAAAGTTTCGACCAGCATCACCTTAGAAAATACCGGAGACAAAGCAATCGGATTTTTCTACCATGCCATGGAACCTTCACTGGTTGACAAAGTAGCATTTATTTCAGCTGTGGTAAGTCTGGTTTCCCACATAAAGATCTCTATAAGATTGCGATCGCAAGATTTTTGTTATCATTTGTTTTCACAAGTAATCTATTCATAAAGTTATAACCAAGGCGAAACAAAAATATAAATTAACATAAAAGCTTGTATACCTTATTTTTTAGGCTAAGCCAGAGACTGAAGACCAAGATGTTCCCTTAGTCGTTAAAGAAAAGTCCCTTCCCTCTCACAAGTAAGATTAATATTTTTTCGATAACTGTGTGGAGATTTCCACGTATGCACGCTTTTGTTCTGGTGTTTTTTATCTTTATGTACTTTAACGTACGATAACTTACTCACCAAAGCTGCATTATAGCTAAAGTGCAGTCTATAATAGGCATTATATATGTACTTTAGTCGTATCGAGCTGTTTTGAAATCAGCACTTATCCATTGTAACAACAGTAAACATTTTTGTAGAAAAGTATTGAATAGAATTTGTTCTGGGACATCTAGTTTTTAGATTGATTGGATGGGAAAATTCATGTATTTATACTTTGAAAAGGTGTTCAAATATGTCAGAGAATATTCAGGTTATATTTTATCAAGGTTGTTGCCAGGCAACTTATTATAGGTATTAGCCAATCTAGCTTATTGAAAATGCTATTTGAACCACTTCAAAAAAATTAGATTTAAAAACTAAAGAAATCAGATTTGAATATAACATTACTTGGCTGGTCATCATGACTGGCTACTGCCTGGCCATTTCCATTGTAGACAACCATTACAAAAATCAAATAACACTGTAATATGGTCTTCTCTGCTTAGAACTAATAACCCTTTTTTTTCTACAGAGATATCAAGGTCTATAGAGTAAATCTACCTATTCAGCTAGGGCCTGGTAAAACAATAGATGTCTCAGTAGAAGAGGTGTTCTCTCATACAATGAAACCTTATCCATCCAAAGTTGGCCAGTCAGAAAAACAGCAAGTGCTTTTCAACGGCAACCATTATGTTTTCTCTGTTTATGAATCCAAGACGCAGACTACTACAGTCTCACTTGCATCATCTGTGATTGAGTCATACAGCAAGCTCAAACCAACTAGCCAATCAGATAGTACTATTACCTATGGACCTTATAGCAATGTCGAGGCACTTAAACAAGACTCTATGAAAATTCACTTTGAAAACAATGCACCATTCTTAACAGTAAGTGAAAATTTAATGATTTCTATTTTACATAACCATTCTCAATTGTTGTGCAATGTTGACTGAATAAAATAGTGATGTTCGGTTTTCCAATGTCTGGAGAGAARACTTTTATCTACAACTTCTTGGCCTAGTTGCATATAGGATTTGAATTTGGGTACAAGTTGGAAAAGTACCGTGTTGCAATGCCAAATTCAGCTCGCTTGGTCCTATTCACTGGTCAAACATACAGTAAAGCTTTTATTTGAGGCTGCAAAGGTAGCTTGAAATGTATTGTTCAAATTGAAACCTTGCAGCCTTATTAGAATGTGTTTTGTTTGACCAGTGAACCAATGCATTGAAAGGGGCAAAATATTCACTACAGTTAGCTAGATGAGTCTTGTCAAGGTGAATAGCCTGGAAGTCTGACAAACCAATTCAAATACATGACTGAATGAATGAATATTTGRTATTAATGAGGTATGATTATCCTAAAAATGACAGGTCATGAGTATGGAGCGTGTTGTTGAAGTATCTCACTGGGGTAACATTGCTGTTGAAGAAAATTTCCACATACGTCACTTAGGAGCTGAACTTAAGGTATATAATCCTTATTAAATCCATTTTATTATTTATCTGCTTATTAGGAATATATTCTAARAATAGAGAGCTTTTTGTACTTTCTTTGTCAGAATAATAGTAACTTAGCTCTAAATACAGTACTGTTTTTCAGAAGTTTATTGTTTCACATAGCACACAGTTTAATTTTCCAAACAGTTTTTTCCAAATATATTTTAATATGTTTTTGATATCAATCAAACTTCACTCATTTATTCCAGGGATCATTCTCAAGGTATGACTACCAGAGAACACCAGCACCAACGTCCATTAAGTCATTTAAGGCCCTYCTACCAGCCGCAGCTACGGATGTGTACTACCGTGATGAAATTGGTAACATTTCTACCAGCAACATGCTAGTGAATGAGGACTCTGTTGAGCTTGAGCTTAAACCCAGGTTTCCTTTATTTGGTGGATGGCAGACTYGTTACTACATGGGCTATAATGTACCAAGCTATGAATATCTTTATAATCAAGGTAGGTCTGTCAAAGCTGCTACCTGGAATTGGGGTTCCTGTGGAAAGCACAGGCAACCCACTTGGCTCTTAGTAATGAATCTCAAAATTATGATYTTATTCATTTATCCAGGTAATAACTATGTCTTGAAGATGAGGTTTATTGACCATGTCTTTGATGATTTTGTCATTGATGATCTTAGCATCAAGGTTATTCTACCTGAGGGAAGCAAGTAAGTGAATCCAAGTCTAGATCTATATTAGTTTATATATTTTTTCAATGAGAAACATTTGGTATTGACTTCCATTATGGCATGAAGCTTCAAAGTATGACCACATGAATGTAATGTATTCACTATTTTCTATGCTTGGGCTTAGCCTTTTGCTGCAAAACAAGCAAGGTCATAATTTTTTACTTCCCACTGTAACACACTTTGTGACATACCATAGTATTTTAATTGGCTCTCGTTGTTTTATACAATAAAATTAATATCAAAACTATATCCAGTTACAGGAAAAAACCCTAGATATGGTATTTTTCATTTTTATCTTTGATACAAAGTGTGCCCAATAGTGAGATATAGTACCTGTGCCTAACCACACCATGCCTTGACTGTAGGTTTCCATTTTAGTATTGTATTACAGCATAATGCATACTACTGTGGTCACTCAACGTTTTTACATGTTAGTTAATCAGATGTGTTTTCTCTAAATAAAATCATGACTGGGTGTTCACATTCCTCAACTTGTAAATAATTTAGGTTTTTTAAGACTAACTTCAATCAATCTATAAATTTCTTTGAGTTCGAATTCTCAATAGCAACTACATGCCAATATCTCGCTCATTGACAGGCTAATTTATAAGAAAAGGAAATGGAGTTGGTATGGTAGCATACATCAGAATGTGCATAAAGTACAAGTATGACCATTATAGYACTTAATATCCCACTGTATGGCACTTCTATATATCTAATACAAACTTCCTATTCCCTAGGAACATTAAGCTGAAGACACCTTTTCCTGTACAAGAGGGCAAGCGTGAACTGCATCATACATACCTCGACACTGTTGGAAGACCTGTAGTTGTTGCACAAAAGAAGAACATTGTAGAACAGCATATCCAGGAATTTGAGGTAGAAAATCTAGTTAAAATTTGGCTTAAACATTCTGTCTGTGGGGGTGGGGGCTGTCATAGGTACATGTACCATGKACTGCTGTGGCCAGGGTTTCATTCCTCTGACCCGCTATCACCTTATCAGTAGAGCTGCTAGATTGTTAAATGTTTGGAAATATTGTTATAAATTTGGTAATACTTCCCGCCTCTTTACAAGTCTCCTCACCTGGTTCTTAGGAAAATGATTGCAAAGCACTAAATGTTTTTAATAAAATTTGAGTCTGCATTCAATTCTGAATATTTTAGACTGTCAAATTATTATTCGACACATATATTTACAGCATGCTAAAAAAAAATTTTTCTCTTTCAGATTCACTACACTTTCAACAAGGTCATGCTCCTTCAGGAACCTCTCTTGGTTGTTGGTGCTTTCTACCTCCTGTTTCTCCTTGTCATTATATATGTGCGCATGGACTTCTCCATCAGCAAGGTAGAGTATACAGAACAACTTCATTGTCATTATGATGATCCGTAAATATTCAACAATATTATAAATGACCTTTTTCGATAATCAGTAAAAATGTTTAGTTAACAGTTAATGGGAATAATTGTGTAAATGGTGCATGGGCAATGTTGCATGGCAAATTGTGCATATAGTTGCATGTGTATAAGATTTAAGAAGAACATATTCTAGACTAAGACAATGATTTYCCCCCCTAAGATTTTTGTGTAATAATTGTGTTTGTTTGTGTGCGTAGGGGGAGAGGAATTTCTGTATATCATACTCTATGTTTAGTAAACAAAGAACCAAATTCACCAGTGACCTTGTGCAATTCAATCAATGCCACCTAATTATAATCCGTAAATTTTTGTCTTTGCAGGATGAGGCAAGTGAATCCAGAATGCGCGCCGCTGGCCTAGTAGAAGAAGTGCTGCGTCTTTTGGACAGGAGAGGTGGGTTGTACAATGTGTACATGGATGCCATCAGCAAGTTCAAGTCAAGTAAAGATGGCACCTCCTTTGCCAACGCTCGTAAGAAGCTGGATGCTGACTACCGTGCTATTGGAAACCAGATATCTCAGTTCCAGACTGGATTAGCTAAAGAACAGTCTGAAGCAGTTGAGAAGGTTGGTTGTCCTTGATTAACAGGGGTTAAGTACTTTCAAAGGGAAATGACTGAAAATGTTGGATCTATTCAGTACTTTCAAAGGGAAATGACTGAAAATGTTGGATCTATTCAGAGCTGTTTTTTTTTTGTATGAGTTGGAAAAGACATGCCAAGTCTTTCTGTCTCTGTACCTACATTAGATAATTGGATAGGTCATGCGTAAGCAATAGGAGGCTATTTGATTGTTACGGCATGTCATTCATGCATCTGCAGTAAGYCAGTACCATATATTTCTTACCTATATGAAAATACTGAGCACTCTACTCGTACCTTCAATATGAAATAGCCTTTACCTATCCAAGGTCATCTTACATTTACACAAGGTATAAAAAAGTGAGGTTTAAAAACGAAACATTTCATTTTCATTTACAGATAACTGAAATCCAGCGCAAGGAGCATGAGCGCAAACAGCTGTTAGACCAAGCCATTGTAATGGCAGAAAAGGTAGTGAATGGACGTTTGAACAAGCAGACCTATGTGGATAATGAGAACACCAACAAGACAAAACGCCAGAAGTTGTCCTCTGAAATTGATGCCATTGCTGACACTCTTTGACCAACACAATGAACCATCACATCCTCACTAATAATATTGCATGTAGCACCATCTAGATTATTGTTACAATTAAGAAAAATGCCTTTTTTGAATTAAAAATAAGATATCATCTTTATGTTTTAGTTGTCTTTTACTATTGTAATATCCACGGTTTACGAACATCAACGTCAGAAATCTTTTCTCATTCAAATTTGCCAACCATTTAAAACAAAAGATCCTTTTTGCAGTAGCCAATAGRTCTCTGGTTGGTGCATTAATATAAATAGGTGAGCTCAGCGTCAACTTCAATGTTGCGGAAGTGTTTTTGTTGTTTTAGCAAATATTTTTGATGGTGCTTGTGTAGTGCTAATGTGTGGGTGTGTGTATTCGTATCAAATTTACTTCTAGTTTCTTGATATCTAGGTGCATGTTTAATAAAAATTATTCATTTTTTACTGCCAATGCTCATAGAGATAGGGCATAAATGAAGTGTACTTTATGTCTTCATTAATAAAAATATTATAATTGTATTAATAATAATTTGTACTTTTTGTGCTTTGAGACCTTTGATATAGAGATAACGACCAGTGAGAAATATTGCTTTCGAATTCTAGTCTAGTTTTTGTGTAAACATCTATTGCTAAACATGCATTTGTATGGCAGTGTTTGCACTAAAGTTAGACCAGAATGTACATCTTATTTGTCTTGAATGCAGAAAAATTCTATAATTTCTCATTTCGTAAAATGTATAATGAATACACAAAGGATCAGGCATATCTTCAAAATTCTTTACTCGGCAAACCAATATTGGAGATCAATGGACAGGGCCTGCCAGTGACTTTTCACAGGCAGTTGTAAAGATTAACATATCCATTACTGCYCTGATACTCTGGAGTTCACAATTTCGTGATACGTTTCCTTAGTAGCCATGTTTTTATCAAAGTCCTACAATAGTGTTTGTGTAAACTTGCAATCTAGTGTCCTTTTCCATTCAGACTTCTAATCTCCACATTTTTACTGAAGATTGAAGGTGTGGGATCCCTGTGGATTGTTCTTTCMTCCAATCAGAGCGAGTCCAGTATAGTGGGCGCCATTTTACATTTTTCAGTCTAATAACACCGAGAGGTCTGAACTCCACGTTATTTTAAGCTCTTCTTTTTTGTTAATTAATAGTTCAATTTATAATGAATGAAGTCATCAAGAACACCCATGCATTTGTCGATATTTTAACTATGGCGCGAAGTGAAGCTGTACAAACCTGGGATGAAGGGACATTCCAACGAGCTTTCAAATGGGCCCAGTACTTCGAAGAGGTACTCTATGATATATATCATAGATAATTAGCATTTGAACTTGTATATTAGAATTTCTGCATGCTCCAAATGCAGAAAACTAGCTGATTTTGAAGGTAGTAATGCTTATTTTCTTACAGAAAAACGTCCTAGATGATGAGGGGATTCCCTACTGGGGGGGGGGGGGGGGGGGGGAGTGATGGTACTATATTATCAAATCTAAACTCTCTATCATCATCATACACTTAGACAATTCCCGCTGTCTGGTTTGATTGATAGATGAGGCAGTAAGCTATCTGGGATGGGTTTGATTGACAGAAGTCAATTATATAAGACATCTGAATTTTAGAATTTTTGCTTGGCTTTTTTACTATTTCTGCAGTCCCTTGCAATTGGTACTGGTTAAAATCCATGAATTGAAAATCTTAATTTTTTGAATAAGAGATTTAAAACAAAATTAACAACACATTCTTGGTTCATTTTTCTAGGTATATACTAAGCTTAATTCCAAACCAGCACTAGCCGAGAARCTTAACAAGTACATCAATAACTTCAACAAGACTGGAAAAGTTTACCTTGGATCTCTTCATCTTTCATTTAACAAGCTAGAACACTCCAAAAACATTTTAAGAAATTGCCTTCTACAAAATCCTCACATAAGTAATTCACAATTTCAACATGTTCTTAGACTATATGGAGTGAAGCTAGGATCCATAATCGACACTGAAAATCAAAAAGTTTTGGAGMAAGATGTTGGTCATGTTATGAATCATAAAGGGACTTTAACTATTTTGTCACAGATCAGGGATAAATATACTGAAAATATTCAGGAGAAACTAAATGGATTGTCTCACATCTCTGATTCTGGAGACAAAGAGATGGAAAGCTTTTCACAAGGATACCAAGCTGAAAGTATTGATGGACATACTTCAAAGARTTTAGCTCTGAATTCTGGGGGACAACTTCTTTTTAAACATATTCTACATTTTCTAGAAAGTGCTGGTAAGACATTACACTTTAAAATTTTGGTCACTAACAGTTGTAACACTCCTCTCTTCATCCCATCCTTTTTCCCTCCTTCCCCTCTCTCTTCAATTCATCTTTCATGTCTTGCTCCCTTATTGTTTTAGTCTATCCCTCCCTTCCCATGCATCCATACCCCCTTGCATTACCAAATTTAATAACTAAAAGAATTCTATTTTCGTCCCAGAAAGCAAAGACAGTGAAACCATGMATGAAAAGCTAAGGATTATATCTCTTCAAGAAGATGGAATGGAACTAATTGCCTCATGTCTCTTATGCATCCCTGAGGACTGTCAATCACACTACAAGGCAGACAACGTACAGCAGTTTATTGTCAATTGGTTATCAGGCAAGTGTTGGGATATTGATCATTGGGGTGTAGACATAGATGGATAGGGCGTGGTAGGGTGGGGGCTACTGGTAAGTATATGTACTAGTAGTGCCTCATTTTTTTCCACTAAATTTGATTATACAGTATGTTGGGGTTGGGTGCACACAGGACATCTTTAAAATRTGAATATACTAGAATACAAGTAGTATCTTGTTCATCTGCCCTTCAATACAGTCTTTTTTTGTTCACAGATGCTTTATCTAGTGATCATAATCATCCATTTTGGAATTTGCCACTGACTGTACTATGCAGCATTTCTTATAAGTACAGCAACATATTAGATCTTTATTTGTCACGTCTCACCTCTTGGGCCAATAGCATGTCTGCTGTACTAACATGTCAAATGTCACTCGAGAAAAGAAGACTTGTGCCTAAAAACAAAGTTTATGTTTGGAGGTAAAGTTATTTATTATAATACAATGATTCTGCCACAAAATAGAGGCTTTGCACCATCACGCAATAACAGGAGGCAGGAACAATTGAATCTGGTCTAATCTGATTTACAAGGGAAGGAATTCAGTTTYMCAGGGGAAAAAGACTCTTTCCTTCTGCCTCCCATCATGGCTGCCATCACGTGAYGGTGCAAAGCCTCTATAGGAGAGTGAGAGGGTGGATATATCATTATAAAACGTTTATATGATGTAACCATACTACATGCAGCAGTACAATACAACTTTGGAACACATTGCCGTGTGGGCTTTTCAGTATCAACTGATGCATATACATGTATGCTATTTTTTATATTTGCAGGTCTTCRAAAGAGTTTTCCAGCAATTCAACCACAAACATGCCTGAGGAAAATGGACATKCAGTTGATAAACTTGCTGACTCACTGGACTCTCTGTTACTTCATTTTAAATCTTTGACCACAGGACCTGCACATATCAAAGAACTTTGTTACCAAAGAATCGAAACACAATTTTCCAAAAATGATTGTAGTAAACAAGCTAATGCAGAAACTTTAGTACAGAAAGAAAATAAGCTTGGTGTGAATGTCTGGTGGGACTTATATTGTAGAATAAAGGAGAGTCACTGAAATACATGGTGAAAATAAAACTCACTTCTTGAAAGTGGATTCAAGATTTAGTTCACTACCAGTTTTTATTTTCTTGGTAATTCTCAAGAACTGCGGAATACCCCAAAATTTGTGGTGTGTGTGGGAAGGGGATAGTGGGGACTGTGGGATATGAGAATAAAGGCTTGAAGTTTCTTGTGCAAAAYTAGTATTTTGATTTTTCTCTTTTAGGACGTATAAGTATTTTATGGTTTGGATGGATATAACACTTATACGAAACTGTTGGAAAATTTATTTAAAACCTTTTAAAAATGATAGATGCAAGTTTTGGGATAAATGAATATATTTTATATTTTGTAAGTAAATTTTAATGTCACCCTATTAGATATTTAATTACACAGCTTGCAAAACATTATTGGCAGATGTATCAATAACTGATTACAATAACTATAATATTCATTTATTCTAATAAATCAAAATATGAAGTGGGGAGAAAGTGGTATTGAAAATTTATCAAACAAAAACTATGAAAATCATAAAATATAAAATACATTTCATTCAGAGTCACATGATTTATGTTAATTCAGTTCAACCGTTGAAATTTTGACCATCACAGAGGGCATTATAAAGTTGCTTCGGTATCATCTAATAAACTTTCGCAATGCAATACTGTGCGCAATACRATGAAGCTTTTATCTGAAGTTGAAATATTTTTTTTTCTTTCAGTGAAAAAATAGATAAATGTTGAATATGTAAATAATAATCTACATTACATTAGCATATTCCTGGAACATCTTCATATAAATCTTTGATGTTATCATGATTGATATTATTAGGATAATATTTATCCGTCATTGATCTCCAGCTGATCCCACATCCGGGACTTTGGATTGCGCATGCGCAGTAGCTCAAAAATTGTCCGCRTAATTGAAGAGAATTCGAAGCTGTAAAAAAAATGAAGTCGATGTGATTCTTTGCTTTTTCCCCCCTCAAAATCCATTAAAAACCAGGCTTCGAGCGGCAAAATGGCCGAAACAAGAGCTACTAGGAGTAAAGGGTAAGCATTTTCCAAYGGAACTTCTCGGTGGCCATGTTGTAGTGGTTTGACATTCAGGTTAGAAGATGTCTCGCTCACACTTTGTTTGTCCTGTCATGACAGAAAGAAGCTTGACTCGATCATTTCCAAGCTCAAGGTCAATACCCCAGTAGAAGAGGCGACTTTACCGGTAAGTGAAGGTTTTTGGTTTGGATTTAGTCATGGTTCGCTGTCTGTTTGCATTCATGTTACGAGAATTGGTGGCGGTAAATTAAAATCAACCAATAAGAGAAGATGGGCCTTCAAAGAAATCACACTCCTTTGATTGTTGACAATCGGGCCTCGTGGTCACCGTTTAACCATTAACGAATTAAGAAGAGAACTTTATATCCGATTATCCACRAGGGAGCAAAATTCTTTTATAAAATAATCGACATGGAACTATTTTACGTGCGTTTGTTCCGTTACACGAACGTACCTGTTCGTGTGCCTATTCGTGTGCCTATTATAGTTTCTTTATTTAAATCTATATTTACGATAATCTTTGTAGACAACATATAATGTCAAATGTTAAGAAAGTCACGCCAATTATATATTTTGTCCWCAAAAAAATTGTTATTCCTTTGTTTACTCCCAATTTTTTTAAACATTCATTTATTTTAATTTATGATGTTAAAAAGGCCATGCATAACAGGTAAAATATGAAAAAAGTTGTGAAATATCCTTCGTATTGATTGTAATATATCCTCTGCTTTTGTTTTTCGTGTACCAGAATGAAGGAAAAAATGAGAATGTTGATAGTGGAGGAGAGGCTGATGTCGTTTCTCGGAGATCAAAAAGGTATATTCATGAGCGGAAACGATCAAACACAGCAACCCACCCACCTCCTCACACCTTGAGGGAAAAGTAAATGTGGAAACGTTGCAATCCTTTATCTCAGAATAAATGTCTTTTTATATCCATCAAGTAAATGACAGGCACAACTTAAGAATACCCTGGTACCCAGCCAAAATGATATGCACACATTAATCCTCTATTGTTCTTCTGTTGTCACTGTGTCGCTCTTAAAATAGACTTGCTTCATACTAAAACGAGTTGCGTGGCCAGATATTCTGAAGTTGCTGTGAAGCCATTGCTAACCAAGTTTCATTAATGCTTAAACCTAGTATAGAAAACCCTTCAAATTCTAATGCTACCCTGAAACAACCTCTGGGCTGATCAAATATCACATAATRTAGATAGAAAGGGTACCCACCATACAAAATGGTGTGGTTCCCGACCGCCTAATCGACTTTTCAAGAGAGTGAAAGAAATGAAATTAAATAAGCCAGGGCATGGCTAACTCATTGCTAGGGAGAAAAGCTGGAGAACCCAGAGAAAATCCCTCAAACTAAAGCAGAGTTTAARTTAACAAACCCTACTTTAATAAATGTGATGCCAAGTCCAGGAATTGGACCAAAGACCCTAGATGTGATGGAAAAGAAGAAAAAAAAAGATAATTGACTTTGCTGTTCAGCCCTAGCTTGATTGAAATAAAGGATAATTAATATTTTTTTCATTGCCGTTTAATAAACATTTATCATTTCAATATTGGGGAACTTTTTTTTTCCCCATCAACTTTCTTTAATTCATCTCAACTTTCTTTATTTCATCTCAACTGGGGAACTTTATTGCCTATATGTATTCGGTTTTCAGCGGATTTTGAATGGGTTGTTAAAATTACAATGGATACAGCTAAGAGGTTTATTCTTTTTATTAATAAGATCAGTAAGGAAACTTATAGAAATACTTCCCCTTATTTTGATCAGCCCAGAGGCTGTTTCAGAGTATTGATAAAATTTGAAGGTTTTTTTAACTTGGGTATATCAGGTTCTGTGACAAAAAAAAAAAACAGCATAGATATCTGCTTGTTGAGTTGCTTTTTTCCTTTTTTTGTGTGTGGAAAAAACCCTATTTTTAGGAAGCCTGGCAAGATCTTGAGATACAGAATAGATGATGATGAAGAAGAGGAGAAAGAAAAGTCACRGCCTGAAAATAACTGCGATGAAGATAAAAACACCAACACCAACGTAGAGGATGATTCTTTACCAAAAACTATCTTTGAGGAACTGCCAAATGGAGAAGCTGATTTTGAAGAGGGAGAAGACACAACTGTTCTGTTTCTTCCCTCGGAAGAAATCCAAGTCAAGGCTGGTCCCTCAGATGATTATTGTCATGGTCTATTAGATGAGCACAAGGATGGCTATGAACAATGGGATGAGGAAGAAGAAAAAGGGAAAGAAAAGAAGAGAAAGAAAAAGAAGAGTAAAAGTTATGATTCTGATGAGTCCCTTGATGAAGATGGTAAGCTTTTTTTTCTTTGGACTGGTATMCTCAAAATTATGCATCCTAATTCTGCTCAAGTGAGCAGATGGTATTTTATATTTTTCAAATGAGGTCCAATATCCCTGGATAACAGTTCACTTAATTACAAAAAATTGTGAAACAATATAAAAAGCAATTTGGTAAAAAAAAAAGAGTTATAAGTTACGATCCTAAAGTCAGTGTCAYGACAGGGAAAAAACTGTAGCCTTAGAAAATTGACTGAGGCCATTAGATCTCAGGCCCACTGTCTTACCCTAATTTAGACCTCTTAGCTATTAAAAAACCTCTTWATATATTTTTAGGTGCTAATGATTGAGTTTTAACATAGATCAAAACAGAAGTCAAAAGTCCCTAAAATAGATTTGTTTATTGCTTTCTTTCCTTTTCCCAACTAATAACTCTTTCTTTACAAACGTTGATATTGATTTTTTTCTCTCATTTTGCTATGTTATTAAATTTCAATGATTTTTGTAGCCTGCGTCACATCCGGAATTTTCTTCGTAAATACCGTCTGCGAAACATCGCCAGAAAGCTTGTTCTGGACCCCCCGCAAATTGCACGATTATATATAATAGATTCTAATTGGCTGTTACGCATGCTTATTCTAACGTGAACTCCCATTGGATAACACTATCAAACCGAATGTGATCCTCACCAGATGTTTAGTGTGAAATCGTAACACGAGTGAGTGCGGTGTGTTTTCCTCGATAATCTTCAAGTAGAATGACCTTTCCCCTTCTCAAAATAACACCAAAAGTTTGTAATTTGTGCCATCGATTCATCGCAAAAGATTATTAAGTTTTTCTTTTAAATGGAAAACAAAAATTCAACCCTATTTTAGAAGTGCAAACACTATAATTTGAAGTACGACGAGCGAGTTCACACGTGTGCCGTCAATGCATTGACCGTATTCCTAAATTACCTAGGGAATAACCTTGGTCTATGACTACTAACACACTACTTCCACGAGGTCTTTCATACAGAGAACATCAGATACGATCAGTTAACACTGAAAAGCGAGCGACTTTCCGTAGCCTGTTGGCAAGTTTACAAACACTTTTCCCTTTTCAAAGAATGCTTTGATGGAATCCTCATCATTTTGAAAACTAGGACGCTTTGCTCGTTCACATCCAGTTTGATAGTGTTATCCAATGGAAGTTCACATTAGAATGAGCTTGGCTAACAGCCAATCAGAATCTATTATATATAATCGCGCAATTTGCGGGGGGTCCAGAACAAACTTTCTGGCGATGTTTCGCAGACGGTATTTACGAAGAAAATTCCGGATGTGACGCAGGCTATGATTTTTGCCTCCTTCCAGCTGATTAATAAGTTCTACTGTATCTAAAAGAAAAACTATTGATTGTTCCTTTTTCAAATGTTATATTTTTGTA